AAATGCAACGCCGTCCGGGCCGTTTTTTGTGGCCGTTTAATGAGCGATTAGAGCGTCTGCGCACCAGGATGATTATGCTGATGGCATGGAGGCACGATACTTTCAGCGGAGCAAATGGAGGCTGTAGTCCGTGGACCCGCTATGATTGGAAGGGGATTGAATGCAATGAACACTCTATATAATCAGAAAATTAAATGCATATTTAAATATATATAAATTGATTTGGTTTGACAAAATATGGGTCAGTAAATCAGTTATAAGTGCACAATAGGTCGTGCACGATATTTTCTTCATATATATTCATATATATCGAGATGTCTAAGAAAATAAATTGAACATCTTCAAGTATGAGTTAAATCATTCGCGATTCATAATTATACCCGTTACACGTAGAGGAAAAAGGTATACCTTATCTTTGAAAAGCATGTATCCGGTAGATACGAGAAGTAACGGGTAGCTGTTAGTCGAGCAGCGTTACTCCCAGTTTTATAATCGTCATCCTTGAATATTAAATAACATAAATACCATTGTAATGAGGGTAAAATTATATTAATTACCCCGTTGCTCAATGGGATCTCTAAGCATTGGATACAATGTCGGAATTCCAAGAGTTCACAGACTTTTGCATGAAAACTTGACGGCCCTTTGAAACTCTTTCACGCCACTCACTCATTATGCTAATCGCAAGTGCAGACCTAATTGAACTTAAATGGAAACTCATAAAATGCACTCCAGACCCCCTCTTCCCCTGCCAGGAAACTGTGTTTACAGCCAGGCTCATTGAAGCCGCCACTTTGCCGGCTGACAAGTCGGGCTAAGCCCACGCGATTAGTCGGGAGGAGGAAGGAGGAAGGCGGAAGGAGGAGGAGCGTGGGTAAGCAGAACCAGAACGAGCCCAAAACGCCACTCGAGTTCACAACTCAACTGGAGTGTCAATTAAATTAATATCAATTAAAAGCGGCTGCAACTTGTTGCACCGACTCTTCAGCTCGCCAGTCTTTCTTTCTGTGCGCTCGAGCCGGGAAATTATGCACACGCCATCGGTGCCACCGCCAGCGCCACCGCCTCCGCTTTTCAAACAAATAAAAAATGAAAAAAATAGAAAACAGAGGGGTTGGGAGTGGCACTTAATGAAGGGTTGACTAGCAGCTTCGCTGGAGACTAAATCAACTATTTCCTGGAAAACTGATTAGGCCACATAGCTGCTCTGTTCAACTCGGCCAATCTGCCTAAATCAATTATAAAATATAACCACCATTTACCACATTCGATGCGAATATTTTTTAAATACCACCTACTTAAGAATGCTTCTCAAAGTTGTAGGAACTGCCGAGACCATCAGTTGTATTTTTAAGATGTATCGTTATCGAACCTAGAGCTACCTACTTACTGCCAAGGAACATGAATTTGTGTGTATTATTTCACTGTGTACCTGTCGCACTTTGTCAGGATTAATAGAGCGAAGGAGCGGCGCAGGGGGCAGAGGGGCGCCCAGATCAGCGCTCAGCTGCCAAAGTTGCAAAAAACGCTCCCGTGGGTGAAGTGTCACAAAATTTGCACGCAAACGCGGAAAGCCACATGGCAGCAGATACGTCGAGTGTGTGGATACCGAATCGCAGATACGGATTCAGATATATATATATATACAACACAGGAGCCAAAGTTGAAGTCGAGCTAAACCTGCGGCGAGGAGCAGAGCTCGAGTGATGGCTGCGAAATAACAGTAGGATGACAGTCACTGCCGGCGGTGACTCGTTATTCATTGCAGTTGGGAAATGGCCATTAGTTTGGCTTTAAGCAATAATTAATTGCGCTTATTAATGACACAGCATTTGGACATGCTCCCCAATATCCAAGCTTAGAGGCCTTGCTTATGCTTTGCCACTTTTGAGTTAGTCATATAAAAATCATTTTGTTGAAGAGTCCCTTCACGTACACCGCATGTTCAAAAACTAAGTTTCTCACTAATAATTTGAGTATTTCAATGGATACAATCCTTTTTTAAATACTAATCTCTATAGCAAAGCTAAATAGGTTTTGTAGTGGGATTATTATATGCATGTTGTATGAAAAGGAAGCATAAATAATAACTTTAATGGATTGTAATACTAAATTATTAATACTAGTGTATTTATTTGGCTTCTAGATAGAGTTACTTTTGCCTCTCATATTCTGTTTTAATTCTGTATACAGTAATTAGTGAACAGTAGTCACTGTGATCACGGGCATGTAAAATCGTTCCCACCGCCCCCTCCGAGCGGCATCCCCTTTGGGTGGCGCACATGTCAGCGAGTATTGAATGTCGTCGCTGGCTGGTCTGGCTATATCAGCTGCCAAGGTTGTCGCTGGGAAGGAAGCCCCATCCGAGGCAGAAGCACTCCCAGTTTCCATCTCGCAGCTCCCATCTGTCTCCGAGTATCTCTCGCACGCACACGCATTGCATCGCATCTCGGCATCTCAACATCTAGGCATCCAGCAGCCAGCATCCAACAGCCAGCATATCCGCATCTCGGCATCCCTGCTCCTCAGAATCCAACGCCCCAGCAGCCAACATCCGTGGCGGAGTCAAGGAAATGTGCGAAACTTGGGCACTGGCAAATTTATAGCGACAAATGTTGACTTGAGATACGACATCGGGCGGGGCAGCAGGGAGCGGACTGACTTTAGTCGGGGAGCTGCCTGCTCAAATTGAATGTCAATCGATTTTAGTTTTTAATTTAAAAAACCATGCCTCGTCTTCGATCCCTTGTAATTTGGTCTGGCGTGAGTGCACTTGCGCTTAGTGGTGGCACAAACTAGTCGCAGAGAAAAAGTTTACAGGCCCATATTTAAAAAGTTATAAAGTAATAAGAATGTATATTTCCAGTACATAATTTAACTGAGCATGAAAACGCCAGCTTTCAATAGTACCTACTTTTTACATCATTTAATGGTACTTCACATAATTATTAAGTTCATGCCCAGGCACGTCTAACGCTGACTATGCCATCACCATTGGAAAAAGAGGTGCATCTTTGAGATACTTGCAAGCAGCGCTTGATTGCAAGTTGTGGGCGTGGCAATCAGGGTCTCCAGAGCTCTTCCACCCGAGAGCCAACGGTAAATGACAGTCGAGGAAACACAATCGCGATGTGTGAGAAATGTTTATTCGACAAGCCAGCGAGTCGGAGCTGTGATTCCCAGGCACAGGGCATTCAGGCCTTCTCCATACGAGGCATACGAACCTATTCAAATAATGGTCCGCTAATTGTTTAATTGATAACCAGCCAAATCCCACCACAAGCTTGTCTCGCATCCTCGCTGCGGTCTGTCTGCAATTTGTGCAAATTGCACGCACATAGAAACCATTCATGGCCAATTCACCACCCATTCCCCCACCCAGAACCCCGCCCATTAGGCACTCCGTAAACATATCAACACCTGTTATGGCGCATGGGCCTGTGCCCAGGTAAGCCCGCTGCAAATATTGAAAATCACTGGTCCGTTCGCCCCTGCAACCTAAATAAGTTTTATTTGCTTGAATCTGCCAGCTCAGTTTTATGCAAAAATGTCCGCCGCCGATGTGTGCAGGTGTCCGTTGCAGTCAATCAATGGGGCACGTCGACGGGGCACGGACACAGGACATTTCCATGGAGGAAGGCCGGACCACGGTGCGACAGGTCCTTAATCCCGCACGTTGGCCGTTTGTCGCGTGCAAAAATGTGCTCCCTACACTGCAAAACTAGTTAGGCAGAACTCTTTGACACGAATATGCATGGAAATGGTATACAAGTTACTTAAAAAGCAGGATATATCCAGTCTTACATAATTTGTATCTTTTTTATAGTAACTTTTTGATTAAATATTTGTGTATAGATTACTTTTTAAGTTACTTAAAAAACAGGATCATTTAATTTATTTAAGCTATACATCATTTATTCTATTGCAGATAATTTGTATGCTTTTTTATAGTAACTTTTTGATTACATATTTGTGCATAGATTTGATTTAAATATTTAGTTCGCTTTCTAGTTTAAGGCAAGCGATTACATTTTGTCAGTGTTCGATGATCCCAAATACCTCCATGCCCCTTGCTTCCTTCATGCCCCTTTCAGCTGCATTGTCAATTTCACACGCCAGTTGGTCTGCTGCTCCTCTACCCGTCCTTCGTTCTTGGTCCTTTCTCGCCCGCTGCTCCCTCTAACCACCCGCCAGTCCACCAGAGTGTATTTTGTTATTGCTAACCATTCGTGGCACGTTCAATTGATTGAATTGAAGTCGCATCGCAGCGAATGGAACAGAGCACTGAAAAAGAAATCTACTTGTTTGTAAAATTATTTGGTATTTTATTGCTTCTGTACACGGCTATAAAATAATCATCTGCCAAGTAGGAATAAATCTATGGAGATGTGCACAGCGTAAGTCTGGCAATTTTTGCGAAACAGTGAAAGTGGTATTTATTACCACATTGTTCTCAGTGCAAAGAACGATTGCACGGACATATGGAAAGTGCGAAGAGGATGGCGCACGCTGATGTCCTTTCAATGTTATTGTTATTGTTGCCTAGGCTTGTTAGGCTGCGTTTGTTTTTGCTGCTGCTCGATCGTACGTCGCTGACAACTGTCTCTGTCCTCCCATCCGGCCATCTCCCTCGCTCTTCGTGCAACAATTATTCAATTTGATTTGCTCCTCCGCATCCTATCCTCATCCCATCTCGCTCGCTCCCTTTGTTATCCTGCGCCCTGTTCCGCCCTTTTCTATTGGGCTTGGCACATTGTTGTTATCACACTTGAATAGCTGCCAAATGTGTCGCCCGTTGGCGGCGTCACAGTTTACACCTGTTTTTCCCCACCTCCGGCCACCTGTCCCTTTGCCATCTCCCTCTAAAGCGGAAGTGGGGGTTCCTCCAGCGGAAGTGGATTTAATGCGAGTGCAATTTGGACAACCACCTAAGTAGGCAGCCATTAACACCAATCGATGCGATGGCGATTTTGCAATTTTGCGATTTAATCCTTGCATAATTAATTCCAGATTGAAACATAACGATGCCAATGTATTTGTTTTTCTTTAAGCTAATGCAAAATCGTTTGTATATTTAATCTATTTCAATTTCAACACGGTACATTTATGAACCATTCGGTAGCATTCAGTAAATTCGTGGGAATCCAAATTATATGAAATGAAAAGATATCAAAGAATAAATTACACTATGTAAATATTTGTATTTTATGACATTACTAATTTTCTCTGCGACACATGGGACTGTCCGGCGAACAGTATCTTGTTCCTGGAGGATCGTGCTTTGGTCGTATCCAAATGTGAACATCTCGTTTTCCTCTTTTGGCAGCAACCATTCCTACTAGGAATAGAGTGACCAGTAGTAGATACGTTAACTTCATTACGGTGCCGATAACAGAGTCTGTACCGTTTTTATAGTGCCAAATGGATTAGTTTCAACCAGGTGCAAAATGGATTGGTTATGCTAACTTATTGTTGTTCTGGAGTATTCTGATATCGTTGCTTATGCAACAGTGCATACACTTTGCAACGAATTGCAATCTATCGATTTATCCTGCCGTTTAGTACATATTTTACAACACTAGCCCCCCAGACGAGTGTCCCTTTGGCTGCTAGTTGCAACCTCTTCTGAACCTTAACAAATAGCGACGAAAATTGCAACAAATGTGTTACGAATGGTTCGTGATCGTGGCATGACAGAATGTCGCCGGCAACAACAGCAAAAGCGAGCTGAGCTGGAGAATTGTGGACCAATGAGGAAATCGTTACCTTGGCTTAAACCACTTAAACATCACGAGTTGAACTCTTAACAGCCTGGGACTCAAGTCCAAACTTTGGGCCGTTGCTGGGAGAAGACTTTTGCCGCGCTCCACTGATGTTGATGAGGAGGAGATGACGACGACGACAACAAAGAAGTTGACATCAGCAACAGTCTAACAGCAACTGCAGTTACACCGGAAGAAAACATAATCGCTATATGACTTAACTAAAATAATAATGGATAAAACAATTTTAATTGCAGTTTTTTACCAACCCCTTTACGTTGCTCATGCAAACAGAACTTGCATATAAAACGAAAACTAATAAAAACAGTAAAGTTTAATATTCGTTAAGATTACATTTTTGCACAGTGCAGATTAGCCACGTTGATGAGATACTGGGATCGGAATCGGGTACGAGAATGGGCAATTGGGTTTTTGGTAGCTACGGGCTGCTCAGGATGCTTGTTTGCTGTTGTTGGTATCTGTATCTGTATAGTATCTGTATCTGCAGCTCTGGCCGCTTACAACGTAACCAAGTGTCCGTCGGTCGCCGAGTTGGTTGGTTGTTGTTGGTTGGAGCTGATGCAATAAATCGCTGACAATGTCCGAGGTTGTTGGTGCGATTGTGATAAAAGTAAATCGCTGCAAAAGCCAGTACACGATATTCGGATACTAGAGGTAGTCTAGTTTAGGGCTTAACTAATGCTACAGCATCATTGATATCGAATTACATCGCATTTAAATTACGCAATAGACAGTCTGGCCTTGTCCCACTTAGCGGGTCCTGTCTTTTCTTATCAGTTTCATATGGCCAACACGTAGGAAAAGTTGGCTAGCACATACACACACACCCAACGAACGAACTCGTTCTAATTCGCGTTTGTTGGGAAGGGAAAAAGTTCTTCAAACCACTTCTGCAGTTCTCCGGCAAAATCCCCAAAAGCGTTGCGTTGGCGTATTCTAAACTTTGCGCCACTTTTTGCCGAAGCTAAAGTCATTATCATTAAAGCCATACTTTGCTGCCGAAACTTTCACTTGGCGAGCAGGACGAAGCGTAGCGGAAAATATTGTAAATTGTATCTAACAGATACTTTATCGAGCCGAAACAGAAACTTCTGCCATTGTCCGCGAGCGACAAAACTGACACACATGTGGGGATGTGGGGATTCGCAGGGGGGCCGAGGGGCTGAAGGGCTGGGAATTACATGCCAAGATAATGAGAGTATAACTGGGCGTGGCGGCAACTTATTCTTCGACTGCACAGAACAGAACTTTTCAGAAAAGTTTTGCGAATCTGCAGCATGCTAAATTTGGGTAGGAAAGTGCTGTAAAAAGTACATGTACATATATCTCAACGATGCACACTTGCAAATGGAGGTCCGATTGGAAATGTTTTCTTCAGAACTAATAAACATGCAATAAATTGAAAATATTAGATATTTTTGCGGGGCATATAATAAAAGGGTTAGAAAAGCCCTTAAAATGTTAGGATTTAACCCTTTAAAAAAACGTTTTCTATTTTGTGCAAGCCAAAAAGCTATCCCCTTTTTGATTAGAATAGGATAGGCACTTTTTTATAGATAAAGTAAGTTTAACGTATTATCCTTTTAAAAAATTAAAATTAAAACTGCCCAGTCATAGTTTCTTTGTCTTTTTTAATAAAGTCGATATACGTTTCTTTGTCCTTATCGACACACTGGATCAATGATCATTCGTCACAACCTGGATAGTTGCAGGGCCGATTATATTGATCTGGTCGGATCCAGATCTCAACGTCTCTTTTAGGTCGCCTGGCTGGGGCCATTCCGACCAAACAGAGGATAACCAACAGAAGAAACACCTGTGACTTCATTTTTGAGCTAAATCTACGATATTTCCCTTTTTATAGCTGATACATATCAAGGTGTCACGAATGGATGCATTAATTAGCCACGCACTGATTTAAAGATCTCAAATCGCCAATTCGCCAACGATAAGTAGGATATAATAATACCCTATTGAACAAATCATTTTTATTATCAAAGCTGTATAGACCTCATGTACTTTCTTGTTTCACATAGCTGTCAGTTTTCTATAAAGATAAATATTTATCGAATCTCTTTCAATTTGGTATGTTTATTGTCACTGGTATCAAACATAGGGTAATAATTAGAACTGAATTTATTAAAATAGTGATAAATGGTGATAATTATTTATGTACAAATATCACCATGACCAATTTTGAGATTTTTCATAACCTTATACAATTTTTAAAATAAATTAAAAAGATACTAGATCTGTATTAGAACTGAACTTTTAAACGATAAAGAATTTACAATCATTACTTCCAACTTTGCTGATATGTAACCCCAAATAATTACTCCTGATTCAATGCAGTTCCTAAAAAACTTTAAAGCTAGAAACTTTCTTCTTTTACGATTAAGGAGATAAATGCATTTGGAAATTTATAGATCCCTAACCTATGCAAAACGATTATTCTCTCGGCGCTTTTGAGACATTTTTCTAATTTGTAATAAAAGAATTGCACCCAACGGCTAAGCCTTTAGAAAGTATTGCCGCACAAGAAAAAGGTTGGCTGCTGTCAATCGAGTTTTTGCCAAGTTTTTGTTGGCCAAAAAAGTGGCTAAAGGAAAGGCCCACATACTCGTACATCTCAAATCAGTTGGGAGGCCGAGGAAGTGATGGATTTTCAGGCTCATTGAATCAGGTTAGCAATTCAAAGACCAGAGCAGCGCAGAATCCAGCTGCCAGTTCTTGGCCGGCCTTTCACTCTTACAGCTGCGGTTGCCTGACCATCGAATTGCAACCATAAACCATACAACCATGGCCCGAAGCGTGGTGATTACCCCAGCAAGTTAATGTCGGTTCCCGGCGAAAGAGGACATATTGTGGTCACCGAATGGCGATTTATTGGATCTCCTAGTCTCAGCTAAATTCAAATCTAATCTAACACAGAAAAATGCTGTACCGACATTTTTCAAACGACACTTAGGGCCGTAGGCTCGCATAAAAATAAAAGTATTTTAATATCCCAACTGGAAAAAGTAGCTTAGATGATAATATGATGACAATACGAAAAAATATTAAATTCATTTAAATAGCTGTCAAGGAATACTTTCTTAAAATAAGAACGGAATATAGGAGTATAACGAATATTTAACGAGCTAGCGATTAAATATTTATTTAAATACTCTTTGTTAGTTCATTGGAATATAACTACAATAAACCTTGCCTCTAAATGTCAAAAGATCGATTTGTCTTGGATATCGGAAAACACAAAAGTGTGACAAATCTTAACCGTGACATCCGTCATCTTATTACGCAACACAGTTTTTTTAAATGTTCAGACCTATAAAAGCCGATTAGCTTGATTATCGGTGCAAAAATGAAAGCTGTATCACTTCTCCTGGTTCTCGTTTGCATAGTCGGTTTGGTCCAGTCTTGGACTTGGCCGTGGCAAAAGAAACCTCCGGTCAAATTTCCAATTCCAAGCCCGAATCCTCGTAAGTTTTTCTTTTCCAGTTTCGAGTGTAGTCTAACCACTTCTTTCGCAGGTGATAAGTGGTGCCGTCTTAATTTGGGGCCCGGTTGGGGTGGAAGGTGTTAAGATATGAGTATTTCCGTTTAATATAAAATAAACCCAAACCAATGTCTTCGTTGTTGTATTTTTCATTTTACATAGTTTAGATGTAGATGTATGTAGATTATTTTTACATGTTTTTATTGCCTATTTTCGGGCACAATTTTAAATGACAATTCTGCTCAAAAGTATGTAAATATTGTAAGTATGAATAGATGTTGCAGGAAAGCAATCAGACGCAATCACAATTAATCCAGGAACTAATTATTTAGGAGTCCCTATCGATTTACTATGGCTTTCCCCTTTTCCCCACACTTTCCATGGGCCTTCCCCTCTTTTCTCTTTTGCAGCTGCCGCAGACTTATGCGAAACAAAGATTGACGACACTGAAAACAATGAATACATTTTATACTTGCCTAATGTGTTTCTTCCAGGCTGTATACTAAAAATGCATAACAAAAGACTAACTGATCTAAATTTGAAAATACTCGTATTATTAGAAATAAATCGTCTGAAACTATTTTTCGTGTGTATTCAGTTGCATTGTAAATTAAAAAATTCGGTTAATACATATTTTCTATGCATGCAGCCTTCCGATTGTGCGGCATGTGTGCGTTTGCAATTAGCAGCGCTTTATGTGTTGCTGTTGCAGCAGTTGCATGCTGCTGGCAAATGCAAAGTCATGTGATGCCGACTGGCCTGTGTCGTCGTACAATGACCCACATTGTGATGCGCTTTTATTAGACACGCGAGGCGCAAAAACAAAGGGCCAACAATGAGTCCGGAGTTCGGAGTCCGGAGTCCGGGGCTTGGAGTCCGGACAATGGCCCAACAAGGAGACTATGACGACAACAGTGCTGTCGTCATCACCGCGCAAACAAATGAAGACAATGCAAATGTGGAACACACTAGGACATTAAACTCGCACTTGGATATCTCAACTTAGGGAAGAGCAGAAATCAAGCGAATTTTAATCTACATTTTATGCCAGGATATAAAATATTTGCCACCGGTATCTCTCTACAAAATGAGCGTTGTCAATTTTACAAATACACTTTACAAATTTGTGGAACCTCTGTAGCATCTATAAGATTAATCCTAACTCTGTAGTTGCCGAGCTCATTGTGACGATAAACCGGAATTGGGTGGTTCAACTCCGAGGATGATTCTAATTATAATGGCTAATTATAATGGCTCTATTTTAAAGGTGGTAACGCTTGAAACTAGAATTCTTTAATATTGTAATACGTGTACCGGCAATAATAAACAAAGAAACACGGGGTAAGGCCATTTATTTATTAAAAAATGTTGTGCAAAATCCCATACAAAATTTAAGCACCTATCCTGCCAGCATTCAAATTTCCATCATTAGGCACTTCCACTGAGTACTCGGATGAAAAAGGCTTACTGAAGCGATGGTTGGTGTGCCAATTATTGGCCATAATCTGGTGATTCCTGTGGCTTCGGTCTTATCCAGATTTCAATATTTTTGTCTTTTTTTCGTTTGGCCGTGGTCAATGCCAACAGACTAAGCAATACTACTAGCAGTATCTGGATCTTCATTGTGCTGCCGACAACCCCGCGTAACGTTATTTTATACAATAAATGTATTACGTAAAAGCATTGCGAAACGCGAAATTATTTTAGTCTCGCCTTAACAACATTAATAATAATTAGGTTCGATGTAAAAAAAAATATATATATATATAATATATAAAAAAGTGAAAAAATACCACATTATTCAAAAGTGTGGGCATAACAGTTTTGGGCGGTTTGTGGGCGTTGGAGGGGGTGCGACAAAAAGTTTTTGGCAAATTTATAGAAGTTTAGGACTTTAGCTAAAAAATAAAGTTTTAAATATGAATGCAGATTTTTAGAGAATTTATCCACAAACATTTAGAGGTATGCCACTTAAAATTCCGATTAAGATAAGCTGAGTTATGAACTTTAGAACTTCAGCCTTGGAACATTTTTCAATTTCTACAACATCTAACATCAGAAAAATGACAAAAATATTAAAAAAAAATAAAATTTTAAATATGAATGCATATTTTTAGAGAATTTCTCCAGAAACATTTATAGGTACGCCACTTCAAATTCCGATTAGGATAAGTTGAGTTATGGACTTTAGAACTTCAGACTTGTGACATTTTTGGATTTCTACTGTTGTCATGGTGTTAACATAAAAAAATTACAAAAAAAAATTCAAAAAAAAAAATTTCTAAATTTAGCTTTTGTAGTTCCTGACATACGAACATGGCCAGATCGACTTGGCTATTGATCCTGATCAAGAATATATATACTTATATGGTCGGAAACGCTTCCTTCTGCCTGTTACATACTTTTCATCGAATCTAGTATATCCTTTTACTCTACGAGTAACGGATATAATAAAATATATATTTTATATCGGAGGATAGTGACTTAATTAAATTTATCCAACTATTATTTATATCAATATTATATCAATGGAAAGTATATTTCTTATATACAGCTGGAGATCCAAGTTGAATTTGATCCGTTATTATACTATGGCATATTCCCTTGTAATATTACTCCATTCTGCCAGCTCCAAAGGCTGTGTCATTTGGCCTTATAATTGCATTTCTGATTAGATGGCTCCCAGACCCTTCCAGTTTTGCGGCTCCAGATGATGGAGGCTCCAAGGGAGCCAAGGGTGTTAGGTGGGTAGCTGGGTTGATGGGTAGGTCGGGGACGTTGGCCAAGGCCTTTAACCAATGAGACAGTTAGTCAGTTCCAGTTAGCCACAGCAACAATCGCCATAAGCATCAGCATCATCATCGTCAGCAGGTCCAGAGGGGGGAGGGGGTAGGCGGAGCCACAGACGTTAACAACAAGCGGCACATGCAACAAAGTGGGCCAGTTTACACCTGCAGTTAGTGTTCAGGTGATAGGGGAAAACAGGGCACTACACAGTTTCACCTGTGCCCTGGCCTTCCTACGTAATTATTTGTAATTTGTTTGCCCAAGTGTAGGGAAGCGGAGATTCGGTTGTTGGTAATGCAAACCAATTGTCCTAGTTGGACCCACCACTTCACCCTTCTACGTCTTTTGTGTCCTTTGAGTGGGGAAGTACTTGGTTATGGTTGTTATTGCAGCTAATACAATATAGAGGCAGTGGGAACATGTTGGTTGTCGTAAATCCAAAATGCCAACAGCTTCTTAAAGGACCTTCCATTTGAAATATTGGACAATGCCTGGCAAAATGGGGAATGGGAAATGGGGATTTTCAGCTGCTTTCACCATTCTTTTGCTTATATAGATTGATGATGGCGACGACTGACAGCGGAAACGGAAATGTTTTTGCCTCTCACAGACGGGCATTAGGAAATAATTAACCCGAGATGGGCAGCAAATCTGGATGAATGCCCAAATCTCATTGCGAAATTGTCCACTGGCAGTGACAAAGAAAATAAAACGCCTAGGGATCCATAAATTATCGGGGTCCAGATGTCCCCATAACTCAACTAATCTTTATCGGATTTTGAAGTGGCATACCTCTAAATGTTTCTGGCGCAATTCTATAAAAAACTGCATTCAAATTTTAATATTTAATTTTTTTCAAAAATTTTTTATTTTTTTTGTCATTTTTCTGATGTAAGATGTTGCAGAAATTCAAAAAATGCGCCAAAGCTGATGTTCTAAGCCCCATAACTCAACTAATCTTTATCGGATTTTGAAGTGGCATACCTCTAAATGTTTCTGGCGCAATTCTATAAAAAAATGCATTCAAATTTTAATATTTACTTTTTTTCAAAAATTTTTTAATTTTTTTGTCATTTTTCTGATGTAAGATGTTGCAGAAATTCAAAAAATGCCCCAAAGCTGATGTTCTAAGCCCCATAACTCAACTAATCTTTATCGGATTTTGAAGTGGCGTACCTCTAAATGTTTCTGGCGCAATTCTATAAAAAACTGCATTCAAATTTTAAAATTTACTTTTTTTCAAAAATTTTTTAATTTTTTTGTCATTTTTCTGATGTAAGATGTTGCAGAAATTCAAAAAATGCCCCAAAGCTGATGTTCTGAGCCCCATAACTCAACTAATCTTTATCGGATTTTGAAGTGGCATACCTCTAAATGTTTCTGGCGCAATTCTCTAAAGATCTGCATTCAAATTTTAAAATTTACTTTTTTTCAAAAATTTTTTAATTTTTTTGTCATTTTTCTGATGTAAGATGTTGCAGAAATTCAAAAAATGTCCCAAAGCTGATGTTCTAAGCCCCATAACTCAACTAATCTTTATCGGATTTTGAAGTGGCATACCTCTAAATGTTTCTGGCGCAATTCTATAAAAAACTGCATTCAAATTTTAAAATTTACTTTTTTTCAAAATTTTTTTTAATTTTTTTGTCATTTTTCTGATGTAAGATGTTGCAGAAATTCAAAAAATGCCCCAAAGCTGATGTTCTAAGCCCCATAACTCAACTAATCTTTATCGGATTTTGAAGTGGCATACCTCTAAATGTTTCTGGCGCAATTCTATAAAAAACTGCATTCAAATTTTAAAATTTACTTTTTTTCAAAAATTTTTTAATTTTTTTGTCATTTTTCTGATGTAAGATGTTGCAGAAATTCAAAAAATGCCCCAAAGCTGATGTTCTGAGCCCCATAACTCAACTAATCTTTATCGGATTTTGAAGTGGCATACCTCTAAATGTTTCTAAATGTTTTCTATAAAAAACTGCATTCAAATTTTAAAATTTACTTTTTTTCAAAATTTTTTTAATTTTTTTGTCATTTTTCTGATGTAAGATGTTGCAGAAATTCAAAAAATGCCCCAAAGCTGATGTTCTAAGCCCCATAACTCAACTAATCTTTATCGGATTTTGAAGTGGCATACCTCTAAATGTTTCTGGCGCAATTCTCTAAAGATCTGCGTTCAAATTTTAAAATTTACTTTTTTTCAAAAATTTTTTAATTTTTTTGTCATTTTTCTGATGTAAGATGTTGCAGAAATTCAAAAAATGCCCCAAAGCTGATGTTCTGAGCCCCATAACTCAACTAATCTTTATCGGATTTTGAAGTGGCATACCTCTAAATGTTTC